TGTTAGGTTAATAAGCTATTCTAAATTGGTTGTAGGTGTGGATGTTGGAATGAATGGTAGTTTGTCTTGCTGTGTTTTCCTTGTGTATGACAGGCAATCTGCATGATGTCAGCAGGGATAGGTGGGATCAGAAATGTTATGGGTCAGTTAGGCACCTCTTCAGGCTCTCACTGATCCAAATGGCATGTTACACGGCAGGAAATGATGAGCGCCGGAAAAATGCAAATAAGATGAGGACATAACGACGGACGTATTTTACAAAACAAGCAATACAGGATAAGAGAGCAAGAAGACTTTGGTATATAATGAATCATTAAGTAAATGGTGCATAGCATGTAAATTTAGTATGCAAGCAGCTCAAAAATGCACTCCTAGGACACACTGGAGTGTTATCCTGCTTTTTAAATAACTATCCTTGAGTTGTTAGTGTCTCGCAAGTTGTTTTTTCTTTAAATCACCACAGGAACCCTCCCCTGAGAACCCATAAGTCAGATGAGAAAATGGATGAAGCTCCATGACTCCATGTGTGGCAGTGAGAGAGAGAGAGAGAGCGAGAGAGGGCTCCGGCCACAGAACAAAAGCATCTTTGTGAGTGATTGGAACCACATTTTTCACCCTCCCGTCTCCCTCTCTCTCATATTCACTCTCTCTTCCAGTCACCATATCATTCAGAGACACTGAAACTGTTAAGAAAAATACTCAGATATGGACACTCATACTCCGAGTGTGCCCAGTACCAGTTTCGCTTCTCTTTGAGCACCCCCTCCGCGTACACACACACACACACACACACACACCTCACTTTCTATGTCTCCGTCTGGGCTAACTTCCTCTCTCAATCTCGACATTTCCTCCATGTGTCCTCCCACCACATGAGATCATCTAGTACGCTCAGAATCCCTTTGAGAAGTGGAGCAGCTCTCTCACCTTTGTCCCCCACCCTACGCACTAGTTAGCTAAACACAGCAACCTGTTCTTTCCCTGCTGGTTATCAGAGGACTGTAAAGCCTCTAAAACAGGCGTGGGGAACTCCAGGCCTCAAGGGCCGGTGTCCTGCAGGTTTTAGATGTGTCCTTGATCCAACACAGCTGATTTAAATGGCTAAATGACCTCTTGCAGTTCTCCAGAGGCCTGGTAATGAACTAATCATTTGATTCAGGTGTGTTGACCCAGGGTGAGATCTAAAACCTGCAGGACACCGGCCCTTGTGTTCCCCACCCCTGCTCTAAAGCATCAGATACCTAACCCAAACGAAGATCAGGTCAGTGTACTATGAAATCCATTCAGAATAGTTAAGAATGATTCGATTGCCTTTGGACCATTTGCCCGTGGTTCAGTCTGAATTAGAATTTATAGCCTCCCTGTATGCACTGCATATTTAATACCAGCTTTTGAGGTATAGCTGTGACTCAGCTGATTTAAGAAAATGAGGACTGTAAGCAGACTTTTTCAGCAGGAAAAGAAACTGAAGAAACATTTCTCCCGCTGAAAACGCTACATCCAACAGATTCAGCTTTTTGGGATCAGTGAAAATGGTGATATTGTTGACTTGTCGGCTACAGTGCAGATCATATACTGTACTGTTGCATATGCTTACAGTGAACGGTAATGGACAAACTATTGCATACTTTTAGACTGTCATTACAAGAAACATGCGAGTGTCAATCTCACTCTCATCTCTGTGAATTACTGAGATTCTGCTAGTTGCTTGGTAACTGAAAAATAGTCCAACAAGACCATCTTTAAACCAATAAATATTTCTTTATATTTCTTTTTACAATTTAGTTTTTGACCCAATTAAACAAACGAACAAAAATGTGTCAATAATTAAACTTTAAAAGTTGTTACAAATACAGACTAGTTGTTCCCCTTATTTCTGGTCTATGTATCAAGGGTGTGATTTAAGTCCTGGAATGGGGGGGGTCCATCTAAAAGCAGATATAGTGAAACACTTACTTACTTTACAAGTAATTTTAATGCACTATTCAATTCACTTCAATTTTATTTATATAATGCCAAATCACAATAGCTACTTCAATGTGTTTTAAATTGTAAGGTAAAAAGACCCTACAATAATACAGAGAAAACCTCAACAATCAGATGACCACCTGTGAGCAAGCACGTGGCAACAGTGGCAAGGAAAAACTTCCCTTTTAACAGGAAGAAACCTCTGGCAGAACCAGGCTAAGGGGTGAGCAGCCATCTGCTGTGACTGCTTGGGGTGAGGGAAAAAAGGCAGGACAAAAGACACTAAATTAACTTTAAGTGGTCACAGAGATATAAACAGTGCATCTACCACATGAACTGGTTAATCAGATTTTTTTCCAAAACTGCCTAAAAGTTTAATGACTTTGCCCCAAAATACTCCTCCCAGCATATATGCTATTGCAAAATTCTCACACATTTAAATTTCTACTTAATGCTTTGAGTGCCTTGTCCATTGAATTGGCTTGATTTTCTGTATTTCCCAGAATGTCAAACTATTCATTTGACATAAATTATAAAGCTGTTACCCTTTTGCTATTCCTCTGCACAGAATAAATGGTTTAGGAGAAAGTGTCTGCATGTGCATCAACAAAAAAAACCTCTCTCCCATTATTGTATGCTGACTTGATGGCACTGCTGGAGGTGTGGAATATGGAAGGGCAGTGGGAAATTCATTTGGCTAGTCCATTAGAGCCTGAACAATCCAGTGTACCTGTTCACCTCTACACAATGCTGTCATTAGAACCAGAACAAAAGCAATCAGAAGACTGACAAGGTGTGCAGCGCCTACCACACACTCTGTGACAAATATGTTTAAATAATGAAGAAAAACCTGTTAAATAAGGCTAATTAAATTAACACTCAACACCTCTGAAGCAGCATATAAATAATTGTCTAAATAAAAAAGGAAGCAACGGATATTAAAGCAGTTAGGCTGTACTGTGAAAAAAAAAAATAGAAGCAAGATGATTGAGAGAATAACTTCTGTGGCTGATGACAAAAATGTCCCCGGTGCCATTGTTCAGTGCAGAATTAGAGTAGAAGGGGAAACTGGATCTTTTAAAAACACACAAGACATTAATGGATCTGCGGGCTAATGGCAACCATTCATCCACACATCCATTTCTTAACTGCTTATCCACTTCAGGGTCACAGGGTGGGCGGGAGCCTAACCCAGGTGTCAACCACTTTCCAGGGGTTTTTTTTGTATGTGGTTAATTTATCTGGCGTGTGTGTGTGTGTTTTAACCTAACTCTAATTGTACTGTATGATTTTTAGCTGAAAGTTTGATATCAGATAAAAACGCAAGAATCTCCTCATTAGCACATTGTGATGCTGCAAATTACCTAAGATGAACTCTGAATTTTAATATGATAAAATTTGGGAGAGCACTTATCCCACGCTGTTAAAAAATGGCCTGCGGTAGATGACGAAGTTATGCATGTAAAGCTACAGGGAGGGCAACCACTCAAAATGTGTTGATAGGAATTAGCTCACAGAGACTTTGAAATGCTGATATCAGTACTTTTTTAAAAGTCATCCATTAGCAACATTTATAAATGAACAGCCTCTCTAATATTTTATTTTTCAATTATGTGTAAAAAAAAGTATTTTGACTATTAACTGGTCTGAACTTAAATTACAACAGGGGTGGGGGATTTATGTAGCATAAGGTACAATAAAGGAAAATCAACATAAGAATAAAAAGCACTTGCAGTCCCACTTACAGAGTGACATCTGGTCATCCTAATGTTAATTCAACAAGACTCGTTTCTTGTTAGAGTATTGTAATTTTTTTTATCAGTTCTTTTGATGCCAAAATGTACTTAGTATACTTTTCAAGATAATTGTTTACCAACCTTCATTTCAAAACTGAAAATGGGATTTTTAAAAGCTATCAAACGCAGTCACCACATTGGTTCGTTAGCACTATAAATCATCATTATCTCTACAAAGGCGTCGCTTACACTAAGAACAATAAATATAACAGAGGTATCGTACATTTATGGTTTAATCTCAAACTGTTTCAGCATCACCATCACTGAAGTCATCTGAGTGTGTTTATATGACTATGAAGTGTAACATTTTGATATGTTGATTCATGCTGACATGCATTTGTTTCATAAAAAAATGTCTGTCTTATTCAATATTTCTACTTAATACTAATGATGATAAACTACTTTCAAAAGAGCCAGTATTTAGAGCCAGTTTTAATAATGGCACTTGTTGTTATCAGTGTAGCAGATTTGAAAGTGGCTGATGTCAGTGGTATGTACAGTAAGTACAAGGTAGGAATGTGCACCGCAAGATTTCTTGTTATAACTCTTTAGTCCACACTTCACACTGTGAACATGAATCACTGAGTGTCTAACTTGGCCTTAAAAGACTCTGAGAGCGCCAGAATGAATGATGAAAATCCCCAAAGTGACTAACAGCAGGACATAAACTAAAAACTGGAAAAGCTGTTTGTTTCTTGCAAGGAAAAACAAAGGTTTAGTCAGATTGTGTCAAAGCGCTATACATGGACTTGGCATCTTACCAAACACTAGTAATTAAAAAACGCAATAAGTCACTATCACTGCTAAATTATATTTTTGTTTTTAAAACAGCAGCTAATGAATATTTTCCTGCATATACAGGACTTTTATTGACTTTTATTAAGAATACAAAACAACAGTGACTCCACAGCAAACTAGAGAATGTCATACAGTGGCCTGTTTTATGTTTGAAACATTAAAATGTTATAGAGACAATAAAGTAACTGTAAACATACTGTATTGTGTAAGTGTTTTTGAGCATAAATGTTAACTGCATTGCTGCAATTTGGCAAAAACGATTATCTTTACAGACTATTATTAGTGCCAAAACATATTTCTGGGCTCATAATTCCTGATGAATGCTTGCCTTAGTTAGTCCTGCGTCTGGTTCGGGTTTTGGGGGTAATTATATGACAGTGCAGCTCAGCCCAACTACTTTCTAGCCTGGAGGAAGCACAATCACTGCTGACTGTAGTTTCCTGTCCAACAGCAGGAGCAGAAGTCTGAGTCAAGTAGGATATAGAAGGAGTCAGGAGGCGAAACGGGTTGCACGGAGCGGGTACTCAATTTAAGATTGTAAATAAGTTTGGTAAGGTGGTGCAGAAACGCAGTAGAAAGCGAGGAAACCTGCAGCGCAGACAAAGAGATTTCAGCCTTGCAGCGTTAAACCTCCCAACATCTGGTTTGGAGGACGGGGCGAGCAGGAGTGAGAAAGTTTAGAGGCGGAGAGAGAATTATCTCCGCTGGCGAAAATGCTCTGAATTTGGAGTTTAGTTTACCTGCATGAGCCATAGACAGACTTGGTGGTCGTGTGAAGTGACAAGAGTTTGGGGGGGAGATTGGATTGGAAAGGTCTCAGAGGGCTTGAAGTCCACCTGGAGCGACCAGAAAATGAATTAGTTCAAAGGCCCAGTTGCAAAGAGTTCTAGCCAGAAAGAAGGTAAGAAGTTTTTTCCTGCGGTGTTATTGTTGTCAAAGTAAGTTGCATTTAGATTTTTCAGCCGCACTAAGGCAGGCAGAGAAATTATCCTCACGCTGGAGCGGAGCTTGGTCTGAGCATGCAGAGACTCGTGTCGAGAAAGCGCAGGGCAGATATGCAGTGAAGATAAACAGAGCACGTCCGTTATTAGCTATCACTCATATTTACGTTCACGTTCAATATTTCAGTCTGAATTTATTATGAAAAATGACACTTTATTATTGTTATTAAAAGCTCGCTACAAATAAACATGTTTCAGCTAGCTCTTGGTGAGCGTGCGCTGCAGTGACTTTTCTCTTTTCCCGAAACTTCTTCAAACTTTGTAGCCATGCCGTTTAAAACACTGAGAAACTCACCCGTGGGGGTGGGTGGTTGATGGTGAAGCTTACCAAATTCTGCTTCTTCGAACTTTTTTTTTCGCTCTAAAACTTGGCAAAGGTGGTCAAAACTTTTTGGGAGGCAGCGAGTGCGGAGCGAGCGAGCTACGGGAGCGCGCAAACAGCTGCCCAGCTGAGTTAGTTTGGCAGGAAAAGCGCGTGCCCAAACTGGCACGTGAGGTATACACTGAACTTCCCGATAATGATTTATAAAACTTGCTCCGATGGTCGAGGGCTCTCAAAAACACGTCTTTTACTTTAAACAAGGAGCAAGTGTAAGCAGTAAGTGCGGTGTTATTGGTTTCCAAGATTTGTATACATGTAGTATGATAATTTGTATTTGTAAAATACAAATTATGTATGTTTTCATGAATAAGTTATTTGACTTATACGACTTTTTTTGTTCTTGACCTTTTCCAGTCTCTCTACCTCACGTTGCAGTGTTGAAGTGGCGTACAGTGTTATATATAAATAAATACTTGTTACTGTCAAAGCATACTTTGAAGACGTTATTTAAAGCAGGCTGTTATTAGACGTTTCCTTTGTAAACACGCACTGCTTCCTGTGGTGAGGATCCTGCCAAAAGGCGCTGATTGTGGTTCAGCAGTACCTGTTGTCTGTTAGCTTCTTGCTCATATCAAAAAGACAACGAGAATTCTTCCATATGACTCATCTCTATGAAATTCTTTTTTGGGCTATCTTGTCTCCCTGCTTCAGGCTCAGTCACCTCCTCCCTAAAGAGCCAGGCCTACGCCCATGGATGAGGAGAGGAGTGCCGCTGCCATTTCGCGAGAGCCACCTGACGATGGAGACCCCGGTTTGCCAGCTCCACAACCAAGTTCGCAAACAAGCACAAACGCAGAGAGAGAAAACAGCTGTCCGAGCCCACAGCCCTGCCCTGGAGTTGGTAAGAAAGAGGTTGTTGGGAAAAAAAACAAAAGAGAAAAAAAGAAACACAAATATACTCCATGCGTGCCACGAAGGCCCAGTGTTTACAATAACCAATGTTGTCATCTTTGTGGAGGCGGTGTTTGAAAGTAGTGAACAAGTGAGTTAGTTATTAAAGAGATTAGCCATTTGGTATGAAAACAATGGAGCAGCACGATTATTTGAGAGTGAAGACCTCACCATTTACTTTCATGCATGTGAAGCTTGTTATGTTAGTAGGTCATCCAGAGTGTGTTTGACTGTACAGTAGAGCTATTGTAATACAGTTTTCTGAAAACAACATTAGAATGGATTTGTTCACCCCAGTGAAAGTGTAATATAGGTTGATGTGAGTTCTCTAAAGTGGAAAAGTCTTGAGTCACTGTGGTGTTTAAAAGTTTGAGACTGAGTAATTAATAATCTCTAATAGTAGACTCAGGAGGGGGCTACACTGTAGGAACTCACACTTTATCCTGGGAAAACCATTGTGTGTTTTTGCTGGATGTTACTGAGATTTATAAGGTCAAAAACCTTCTTAATGACACAACTGTTGTGTAGTCAGGTAATTGCTGAGACTGGTCCATGTAGGGGCCGTGCTCTTGGGTGATCTGAGTGGTCAAGACTGATTCAGCGCTATGGAACACTTAAATGGCACAATTAGGCTCCTGGGACTTTGGGAATGAACCTGTGACCCTTTGGCTTTGAGAGATCGGTCATGCTCAGAGGTAACTGACTCAGAGGCGGGGAGAGGAAGATGTGGACTCAGCTTCGGGCTGTTTTCATGTGAATGACTCATGCAGAATGAGCCAAAATTACTTCAGTCTCCTCAAGCTTCAATGGGAAAACAACAGCACAGAGTGTACGTAGATCAGAGCGCAGGTTCTATGGGGTAATTAGGTAAGGTGTGGTTAACAGTTAGGGTAGTGTGCAGAGATTTAAGTGCCTTGTGGCCATGGGAACCAGCCATAAAAATGCTTAATAGTTGATGAAAATTTTTTATTTCCTTTTATTTTTTCTGTCTATTTTTTGTAATACAAGTCCAGACACAACTCTTATCATTACTGTGTTTAACATCAACACACACATCTCCGTTCAATGCTACATTGTGGTTAACCATGACTATAAGTACAGCATCATTTTTAATGATAACTCTTGGAGAGTTTGAGAGTTATTAAATTGAAGGTTTGTGCCCAAACATGTTCTCCTGGCTGTGCTGACTTTACCTCTGTTTGTCAGGAAGGCAGCACAAAGTGTAAATGATCCTTCTTCTGCTAAAGTTAAGCTTCTTTTGGCTGTCTGGTCTGTGTGTTTGAGCAGGTTTAAGTTATATAGGTTCAGGTTACTGCTGAGAGCAACAAGGTCCTCCTTTTAGCTCTGTTGGACCTCTACCTATCCCTTTGCATCAAGATTGGGCTGCTTTGCAACACCACAACAGAAACATGGGGCGGTTGCACACATGCGCTGTATCCTTGAGCCTTTCTAGACATTACTCAACAGAGTTGCATGTGAGAAAGTAAATGTCTGAAGCGGATGATTGGACATCAAACCGTTTTTAACCTTCCAGCATTCCATTTCAAAGACCGTGGGAATTTACAGTGAGCGAGTAGATGTCCTGTGACCTGTCCGCTGGATGCTCTTTTAAGAAAGCTCCCTTGACTAAACAAAACAGAGAATTTCCAGAAGTAAGACTGTTTCATGCAGTCAATCTTCTATTGTATGTTACATGCAGGAGTAGACAATTTTCCAGAGATCGTGTGCAAAATCAGCCATGTATATTTTTAATTTAGGCTTCAAAGAAAGATTTGACCACTGGTCCATAATTAGAATGGGGATAACAGCTTCTAGGATGGCATCCTCTGTTCCTGGGAAAAGTACTTAACCAGCATAACTGATGACGTGAGTTTTAGTCTCTTTACCTTTTTTTTTTGCCTGTCCCGTTTGGTTCTTTAGCCGTCAGAATTGTTGTCTGAAGGCCAACAAAGATACCCAACGGTATCTTTGTCTCTTTACCTGCTCCTTACTAGCCTAAAAATTGTACTGAATTGACTGCTTTGCATATTTTTCACAGATGCGTCAGTATCAGATGTGTTTTTTGGCGATGTTTTTTGCTGCTTTAGCTAGGTAGGAAGCTAGCTTTGAGAGATGGCACCCCCATTCTCATTGTTGTCTTCTGAGCACCGATTAGCATTGATTCAAAGGTGCTGCGCTGCATTCATTTCTGAACGCTTTTACCAAGTTATGCAGATAAGACCCTTCACAGTTAAAAAAAAAAAAGCAATAATTAAATTGAGAACAATTGATGCTTTGCCACAATATTTAGCACTCCAGTCTTCCCATATTAAAATAGTCTGATTTTCTGAAGCTGAATGAAGCTCTGCTCAGTCATCACTTGTCCATAAACTTGCGTTATGTGCGTGTTAAAAGACATGTTCTTCTTCTTGTTGTGAGTAAGGCTCTCACAACATGAAGATGCAGTGAAGGAGCCTTTTCTTACCACATCTGAGTCTTTCTAACCACTAGGAGTTCTTGCACTCTATTTTTTCTTCCTTTCTTCTGTAATCTTTACCCGATTCTCTGCCATTGTTTTCTTGGTTCTTTCTCTTTGTTCCCTGCCTGCATGAAGGATGAACTGCACCCTTTTTTATAGTGAAATTACAATTTTAACAAATGTTATTTGAGATTTCAAATAGCTATCAGCGTCTTAAGATGCTGGAATTTACAGTTTAAGATGACTTCCATTGTTTTTCCAGCATTGATGGAAACAATGGAAAGTAATTTCAATCAGCTGTAGTTAGTTAATGTTTGACGTTATGACCAAGCAAAATGAAAATCTTGGCATTTATTTGGCTGCATTGATCTCTGTGGGACAGAGTTTAAGCTCACTCAAGATTGGTGAATGGGTATAAGAGAAAAACAACTTGTGTGTGTTTTTTTTTATGTTGAAAAGCAAAATAAGAAAACACCAGTGCTTACCTTATTGTGTCATTCTCATATAAACAGCAGAATATCATAGTTCTAACCTTATTCTACTCCGGCAGTTGCTTTGAATTTTGACCTTCAGGATTTCAAAGTGTGAGGTACTTCTTGTGTCAGCCTGTGAGTTGTCATAGAGCATATTACAGCAAACAGATCAGAGTTTTACTAAAATAATTTACTGTTTCTTTTTCTGTATTTTATTTTTTTAGTTTGTTAGGGAACATGATTGATAAAATTCTCATTTAACTGAATGTTTACTATGGATCAACATCCAGCAAGTGGCTACCCTTTGTATAAAGACAGGAACAAGAGTGTAACAGGTAGCCTGACTCTGTCCAGACATGACAAACGTGCAGTCCCAGCAATTTGCAAATGAACTGAAGACTGAAGTATTAAATCGTGCCTGTTGTTGACTGTTGCTACACGTAATAACAAGCCACTGCTTCATTTATTAATTTATTTCTTGGGGGGTGGGGTGCCTGCAGATACATTTTTTGTCAACATCTGCACATCAAAAAAGCTTGATGAAAGCAAGCAAGTGTCCACCTTCTACATCCTATGCCTCTTCAGCCTTTGTGTGATCAGCCTGGTGCTCTCTTCTGTAAAATGCACCTTCTAAGTCACAGTCTAACCTGTTTCTACCTATTATTTCATCTCTCTCTCTATCTCATACACTAACTCATTCTCTTTGCCCGCGTGTGTAGATGCTGCTATTTTCCTGCTTGTCCTTTTTTAGTCCTTGAGGTTTTTTGAGGCTTGTGTCTAATTTGGTTTCTCACAGAGATTGAAATAAACTCAGAGCAGTTTGAGGCATTTTTATGGCGTTTTTGACCAACGAAAATGAGCGTGCTTTATTTTACTTTACTACCTCACAAACATTTGAGAATGGCTCATTGCTGCTGCTCTGGTGGCCTGCGCTCTTTCTGTTTCTCACACTAATGATTTGCTATAGCACTTTCTTTAAATCGTAATCATTCCTGTTGTACAGATAATGCCATCGTGGTATGAGATCACAAATGACAAATTTGAACAAGGGGCTTATATTGTGTGTGTGTATATATATATATATATATATATATATATATGTATATAAAATGATGCTTGTTTGGTAAGTAATGGTATTGTTTATAGTTAAATAGATATTAAAGCAGTTTATGCTTGAAGTCAGGTCTCCTCCGTGATTGAAAAGTCACTACCACACAGTGAGCACACAGTGTCCTCAGTTATCACTATTCCTCTCTCAGGTTTTTTCACATTTCTCTATTTGCCTCCATCATGAACTCTGTGCTGAAGGACGTCTCACTTATTAAAATGCATCTGGAGGAGAGATGAGTTGTCAGACGACTGATAATCAAGGATACACAGGTATATTCTTTGTGTGTTATTACCCATTATCCAAGAAAGAGTCATGGGTAAAAACACATGACCCCTGCTTACACGTGACAAAAAAAAAGATCTACAGAAATTTTCTTTCTATCTTTATTTAAGGCAATTGGCTTTGTAACTTTCTTACCTTCTCTGTTTGTTTGTGCGTTAGTTAAAAAAAAAATCAAATCGTATTGTAGTAAGCTGTCACATTGCACAGTGGTGTGAACTAAAAGTAGGCTTAAATTTTAAAAGTTCTCATGAAGACTGTTATGCTTATATGGCATCTGGGATCATAAAATGTCGAAATAGTTGGGCTGTAACAAAGCAATTTCTAATGCAGCTGTGCCAGACGTCATATTTAATGACATCACTTTGAAATGACAGCTCCAAAGCAGGGATTTTGTTGGATTTTATAAAATGCCTGTTGTCTCAACTCCCCTCTCCTCGTGTTTCTCTCTCTCCCCCTCCACTTGAATCTCTACTAAGATGATACAAATTTTTGCCAATTCAGATTTTTTTCCTACGAACTTTTACCTGTCAACACATACAAACAAAAATAGAATTTTCTTCAATGCAAAATATTGTTTTCATAATAAAAAAGAAATGATCAAAGTTTGCAATTTTCCCCCAATTGTG